CAATCAGGTTTTTATGTATCAAAAAAAAAAGTTACCAGTCTTTGAAAAAAACAAACAAAAATAGATGACTATCTTGTAAAACTAGTCTAAGCCTTTTATGCAACTGGGCACAAAATTAACTTTAATCATTAACGTTTCAGATCAACAAGTGGAGAGTCAGCGTTCAGCCAACCGTCAGAGGCCAACCCAACAGACTTCAGCCAATTTCAAGGTCCTGAGCTCTGTTCCTGGTCCAGTCAGTGCTCAGATAAATTCCATGTATGGATCTCCCCACCCTCAGCCTCTTTTGCAGGGCCACGGTGGCGGCAGCACCAGCAGCAGCTGCAGTAGCATCAACAGGTCCCTCAATGAACTGCAAGGTGGGTCTCAAAGTTTACTTTTTTAACCTGTATTTGCAGTACTTTGTCATTTTGGTTTAAATTATTTACTGTATGTCTACAATAAGCATATTTACAGTTTATCTACAGTTTTTTCATCATTCTTCATAATTTGATCTCATGTATTGTAGATAATGTGTAGTGGTCCACCAACGTGTCTGATGATCATTGATGATGGTGATCAAATCTTTTGATGTAAAGGCTCATGCTTAAATGACCGAAATTCTAAAATGAAAATAGTACATAAACATACATTTTATAAGAAATTCTTACAAAATCTCTTACACAACTTTTTAAAATTTTAATTTTAAAAAATGTCATTCATTTTCATTTTAACATTTAAAGTGTTTTTTTTTTTTTTTTGGTCACTACATAATTCCCATACTTCCATGTATGTTATTTCATAGTTTCCATGAGTTTAATATTTTTCTAAAACATTATTAATTAAAAATATTTTAAAAATGTAAAAATTAATACTTAAAAATGAATTGGTGTGTCTAAACTTTCTGCTGGTAGTGTACGTATATCATATAGTGCAAATGAGATGCAAAAAAAAATTGCTGACACATTGTACACAATATTAACTCAAAATGAATGTTCTGTCAAGTAGGCATGGTTATCAGGCTTTGACGTTAATATAAAAATGGCCTTATATCACCTGATTACTCAAGATTACACTACAGTAATTGGAGGGGTTACAGGGTTGGTACAGTTTTATAATCTTTTGGAAAAAAAAGTCTCTCATGCACATCAAGGCTGCCTTTCTTTGATGAAAAATACAGTAAAAAAATCAGTAATAATGTGAAATATTACAATTAAAAAAAAAAACGTTTTCTGTTCTATTGTATGTAAAATGTAATTTATTCCTGTGATGCAAAGCTGAATTTTCAGCTGCCATTACTCCAGTCTTCAGTGTCTCGTGATCCTTCAGAAATCAGTCTAATTGAGTGCTCAAGAAACATTTATTATCACATTAGTGGTTGAGTCAAGTACATTATCTTGACTTGTGCTGCCACAGAATCCCTCACTCTTCTGGGAGATGAAGAGGATGCCTATCTTGAGGATAGCTACCTTGAGGAAGAGGAAATTATGTCAGGAGAGGATGTGATAACAGATAGCATGTCACTTCGGAATATTGGCACAGCTGGAAGACCCACCGGCGGTCATCCAGCTCTGAAGAGAAGGAGGGTTTTCAGAATCGCCAGAGGGAGAGAAAGACAGAGAGGTGAGCATGACAGAAACATGACAAGCAAGTGATCATCTTCTCTTTCTGCTCTCTTTGTTCATCTTTCTCTCCTTTTTGCTGTTGTTCTAGTGAAAGATGCAGCAGGTGTGTTGTTCCGCTATAAAAAGATCCTGGTAACATACCAGAGGTTAAAGAACATGTCCAAGGCCTTCCAGATCCACGGTGTAGATCGTAATACGGTGGCCTCTACCACACCCATTGCCGAGCTTCTGCTGGTGGCTCCAGAGAAGGTGGCTGAGGTGGGCGAGTTTGACCCGTCTAAAGAAAAGCTTCTGGACTATGCCCGACGCTGTTACATCGCGCTCGACCCCCAGACTCTCAGCAAAGTGCAAGCATTGAAGAAGAACAATCTCCTCCTGCCCATCTCATACAGGTACATACAGCAATCATTGGAACACTTCCTTTTTAATCTTTGTCACTCTTCCAGGAGATAGTCAATTGACATAATTAATCAACTAAGTAGTTAAAATTAACTTTGTGAACTTCTTGTTTATATGTACTTGTGGATTATATTGGACATATAGTTTAATCAATATATTATTAATAAATATGCTCTCTAATAATAAATATTAAATAAGGATGCACAGATATTAAAATTCTTGCAGATAGTGATAAGCTGACAATTGTTGTTTTTCTTGAAAATAGTTTTTTTTAAATGTAAACTTTTAAAATTGACAGTATGTAAATTTGCTAAAGATTACATTTATCAGTGTTGTTAAAATACTGTTTGTGATTGTGAAATTGTGATTTTAAAGATTAAGCATGTGTTAGATAATTGAAATAAAATTGTTAAAATGAGCATACACAATTAAATATTCAAAATCATATAAATATCCTTTCTGAACTGAAACTGATTAAAAGGTTTCAAAAATCTCTAATATTGGTTGATTACCTATATGGTACAAATTTAGTGAGCATCCTTCGTGTATATATATACAGTATCTCACAGAAGTGAGTACACCCCTCACATTTTTGGAAATATTTTATTATATCTTTTCATGTGACAACACTGAAGAAATGACACTTTGCTACAATGTAAAGTAGTGAGTGTACAGCTTGTATAACAGTGTAAATTTGCTGTTCCCTCAAAATAACTCAACACACAGCCATTAATGTCTAAACCGCTGGCCACAAAAGTGAGTACACCCCTAAGTGAAAATGTCCAAATTGGGCCCAATTAGCCATTTTCTCTCCCCGGTGTCATGTGACTCATTAGTGTTACAAGGTCTCAGGTGTGAATGGGGAGCAGGTGTGTTAAATTTGGTGTTATCGCTCTCACTCTCTCATACTGGTCACTGGAAGTTCAACATGGCACCTCATGGCAAAGAACTCACTGAGGATCTGAAAAAAAGAATTGTTGCTCTACATAAAGATGGCGTAGGCTATAAGAAGATTGCCAAGACCCTGAAACTGAGCTGCAGCACGGTGACCAAGACCATACAGCGGTTTAACAGGACAGGTTCCACTCAGAACAGGCCTCGCCATGGTCGACCAAAGAAGTTGAGTGCACGTGCTCAGCGTCATATCCAGAGGTTGTGTTTGGGAAATAGACGTATGAGTGCTGCCAGCATTGCTGCAGAGGTTGAAGGGGTGGGGGGTCAGCCTGTCAGCCTGCTCAGACCATACGCCGCACACTGCATCAAATTGGTCTGCATAGCTGTCATCCCAGAAGGAAGCCTCTTCTAAAGATGATGCACAAGAAAGC